TAAGCGTTAAACGGTTCTTCGCAGCCCAGGTATTGCAAAAAACAGTACACAAGGCAAACAAATAAACACGTAAGCTAGTTACCGCAGCTCTGAGGTAAGTGTCAAGCTCAGTTGTCATGGGGACAGGAAATGTCTTGACATCATTAAACTCAGGCGTGTTGGTGCTCTGCACAATATCTGTGTCATGATCAGCAAAGTCAAAGAAACGGTACACTGCGTACGGACAGGGCTGTATTCCTGAAGGAAAAGACCATTTGAATACATAAAAAAACCGGATAATTTTATCAAACGACCCGTGCGAAACGCTCAATCACTCCTAACAAAATCATAACGAAAACTAGTATGTCCGAAAATAGCCGTCTGGCTCCGCACAAGTAGTGCCTTGTTGCAAAAAGTATTGAGAAACGTCGCGATCTTCAATAAATTCTGCCAGTTGATTGCTCCGAGCTTTCATCTTGCATAATCTTTTTCACTGCTTTTCCGGAGCCCCCCATCTGATTTATGTCATGTTTTGGTGTAAAGGTGGCTTCCGACATTTTCAACAATTCGAAGTCCCGTGAAAAAAATGCATACTGACATAATTAGGGAGGTCCATGCAATCTGAGCCTCATCCAAATATTTTCCCGTCCAGGCCTTCAATCAATAAGCACAGAGTCCTACGTGCGACTCACGAAACTATAAAAGATCACCGGAACGCACATTGTTGCCTCGACCGGAACTACACTCTCCGTAAAACAGGAAGTGCGCCCCATTATCGTTCGAAGCGTCCGTGTGTTCAGTATAGAATGGGTTCGGAACTTATTCGGGACCAAATATCCAGAGAAACAGACCGAGTTATGAATTAGTTTTGCCTAACTAATAGGCCATACATGTACGTTTGTGACCATTTTGTCCAAAGCTGGCGTGATATCTAGGATACTTTCAAAGGGTAAAATTCGTCAGTCTTTTACAGCACTACGACTGCAGTTACACGGCACTCTTACCTGGTCTCCTCGGCTGAACTGCATTGCATCTGACGACATGAATGTCGAGCTCATTGACGTCCGAGGGCGGTTTGTCTGGCACGTGACCGGCGTCTTCAAGGGCTTTATATGCTCCAGAGTTCATATAACCAAGTGCTTTGGTACGCTCCTAAAGCGCAAAAGGATATGTTTAGGTTAGAAAACTATAACGAATAGAATTGGTCAAAGAAAAATATCCAAATTATTGGTACACTCACTCTATACAATCTGATTGCTTGGTCCATGGGAACTCTTAGTCTGACCCAGTATTCCAAGGTCGCGAACTCGATGCCTTGGCATGGGGGCCTAGTGCCTACGAGAATAAATATGAGAGGAACAAAATATGATTTCAAAAAAACGATCAGCACTCGCAGTTATATTACTTGTCACAATTTAAGAGAGCAGAGCCCGCAAGTCCAATCACCTTCCGAACTCGGTTCACAAATATCATAAAGCAACTTAATGATTGAAGAGCATACAACGCCATCTACTGGCTCGCTTGGCACACCTACTTGAAGCTCGGTGCGAGGCGCAGACACGCGGGGCGTGACATCTCGCGTGCGCCACTTCTTTCTCGCCCCCGTTGATCTTACACCTATAACACTGTCAAAGGATTCTTACCAATTAGCGTGGCAGTGCCGTGAACTCTGCCGTGAGGTTTTTCAAGAAGGTCTCTAAACTTCAGCTGACAAGCTGCCACAGTCTTGTAGTCCGTTCCAAATGCTCGATGGATTTCTATCAACGTGGATTCCTATCACAAGGAAAAACGGAAGACTAATTGGACAACAAACACAAAGGATATCGTGCGTATTCCTCCCTTCTTAAGTCAAACAACGAATGTCTTCGACATTTGGACAACGTACCTTTTGTAAGAAATGAAGAAAGAAATCATCGACTCTCACAAGATACTGTGAGGTAAAATTGAATTCGGGTCTGAAAGCAAAATAAAAAGAGAGCTCAGTCAAATATATTTGCAGAGACTTAAAACCATCGCCCTAATAAAGCAATTTAGGTTAGATAATAAACGTAAATTCAGCTCTATAAACGGGTGCCGGCAAATTTCCACGAAAACCTGAAGAAATGCGGAGGTAACCTTGCCATGATCTGACATCCCATCCAGGAAGAAGTAAAGTGATACTCCCAGTAGCTTCAGACACCAGGATAACTTCCGGCTAAATGGGCCACTGACATGTAGTACAAGCGCAGAGTTTTGAACTTATGATAGTAAAGTAGATATTAACAGACGTGGTCTATCACACAGCAACTAAGATACTTCACAGATCTCAAAGTGTACCTGGTCCCCTTAACAACGGGCGTCGTCTGAAGCTCATGTTCAAAAAACTCATACGTCACAAACGTCACCGGTTCATCATCTTCAAACTCTTTCATGGCTTCCTGAGACAATATAACCTGATTGGGAGAAATGTGGCGAGCACAACTTGAGCAAAAATAATATAAAGTTGTCGGAGATGATAGCGTAAACAAAAATTACATGGCGTACCTTATCAATGTGAATTTCGAAGATGTTTTGACCTCGCTCCAGTTCTACCGTGCTATCCATTTCTTCGAACTCGGAGTCCTGCTAAAATGTAGGAGTTGGAGAATCAGTAAAGACCTATTTTGCACAAGAAATATCTTTCGAGGGAAATATTTGCACGTAAAAATTTTACTACATGAAAGATCATCGCACAAAAGCTTGTGCAGTTAATAGCACTCCGTCGGAATCGCTCAACCTTCCTCGGTTCCTCAAGCCTGAAGATCTTCAGGCTTTATTTTAACAACACCTATCATTGTTTGTATAACTACAGTGATCTTTCATTTAATCATTACACAAATAATAAATAGTAAATAAAAATCCCTTGACTTTTCTCCGAAATGAATTATGACCACTTATAACCATAAAATACTATTTCGAGTCGGAGTCGTAAGAGCGCTTCCAACCCACTGAAAATAAAAAATTGGAGTCGCAAGCAGAATCATAAGCTCGACGGAATCGGAGTTTGAGGAATCATTTCCTTCTTCCACCTATGACTGCAACGCTTTTGATCCAGTGAAAACTAGATTGTCCAACTCGCAATCAGGAGCGGAAGAACTCACCAATCACAATGCCAGTTGTCAAGCCCTCCAAGTGCAGCATTTTGACTACGACTCTGACGATCCAGTTTTCAGTGGATGGTAAGCGGCATCAAAATTTTTCTTCCGATTTTCGATTCAGTTCGATTTTCACAAGGACCGCGCGGAGGGAGGAGCGGGAACTTTAACGCCCCCACCCATCCCCCTGTCTTGTATGCTGAAGCTTATACGTTCGTCTTTAGCCCTCGCCTCCTGTTTCACTGGATCGCATCGCTCTGTGCTTCTGAATACAACTCCGACTCCGTCCTAAGTGAAAACCAGCCTTGAATAGATGAAGTACAAGTGGTTCATTTTTCCTTTTTTTCAGTAACAACATCTTTGTCTTTATGCATTTATTAATTTCTGTGTATTGTATCACCTCTAAAGGAGCAGCTTTGTACTGCTTGGTTCCGTATGCTACGTCACGCATCTGACTTTCAAGTTTCTGTAGAAAAAGAAAAGGAAGATTGAACAATACTTCAACGCAATAAAGAAAATTACAACGCACATCATATGAATAAATTTACAAAATAAGACACTACGTCGGTTAATTTCCTCTGAAACATTTGAGGCTCTGTTTCCAGGAAAGGGTACCAAATTTTTTCACGTCTCTCTCGAGACCTTCTACCATGCAAGGATCAACTCTCGTAATTTTTTTTGACACGAACAATAGATGTCGGTACTTACAGTCCGCTCTAAAGAGCGCATGCATATCAAGTGCACACGATTGAAACCAAACACCTAGATTGACTCACGGATTGACGTTGGGAGACAAGATGACCGTGAAAGACAAAAGGATAGATACTTAACAACAGCCACACAGGCAGACTGATAGACAGACAGAGACAGACAGACAAACACACACACTGACAGTGGTCAGACAAACAAGAAATAACTGCCCGAAAAACTCACTCACGGAGTAAACGTTCGGTCTGCTAATAGAAGGAGGAACATTTCCCACAAAACAAACTGAAACGTAAGTAATATTGTTGTACTGACTCGGATTCTATCGGCCCGAATGTCCAGTAACTGAGCGTACTCTTGCATCTTAAGGTCGTACTCTTTCTTATCTTCAGTCATCTTCTTGGTTACCCGCTCCACCTTAACAGAAAAAAGAAGGTTAAAAAGAATTAAAGATTCAGAATCAAGCCAAGAGAAGAATTTAGCGTAAAGACCACGGGAGAACGAATTTTTCACCGGTTCGAGTGACGTTGTGATTGGCTGAATTGCAAGCAAAAAGGATCAGTTAATTCTGCATAAGGGAATAACTCAATGACACAGCTAGCAAAACTAATCACGGCATGTGTACTATGACGTGACTGAGAGAATCGCTCCTGCATTAATTCAGGTAGACACTCTTCAGCGATTCTACTCCTAGGTAGAGAAAGGTACTCTGAGTTAAGTATCATAACCAAGAACGAAACGGAATGACCCAGCCAAGTCTCGAAAACTGACCTCAACAGGCTCACAGAGCGAAGGGCTAACGCTCGAAAGGTCAGCTTCGTAACTCTTTACAATGGCTACTTTATGTTAGTTGATAATGCTAAATTATCCAAACACCACAGTTTCTCTAGAAATTTACCCCCTTTCCGCCCAAAAATAAACAATAGAGTGTTCCACTTGTTGCATTCCACTCAAAAATACAGCTTATTATAATCGCAAGTACTTTTTTTAAGGCTTTGTTTATAGCCGAAACCGCGGGCTTATTTTGAGAGTAAATAGTAAGATCACCACAACACAAGCACCGTATTTTCAGCTCACCTCTGTTTGATAATCTTTATTAATTTTGTGCTGAATAATCAACATATTTCTTGTTTTCTCGAGCTCATTGATTGTGTCCGCATGTGCAGCTTGTAATTCTTGTACTTGTCGTTTCATATCTGCGAGAATTTATAAGAACGAAAGGCATGATTAATATTTTGTTCACGGAATCGAAAGCATCATGATATAATTTCTGAAAGTCGCTTACCATGGATCGCTCTTTCGCCCAAGAAACGTTCGTCGTAAAAAATTACCTTTGCTCTTTTCGTCATCAACTTTTTCCAAGAAATCTAAGTCCTGGCTTCCTTTCTCTTTCCTGTGCTGTTGAGAAAAGAAAAAGTCAAAGGGTGCAGTCTACTATGAGACACTTGTTGTCATGAAGATGGAGCCGAACGGAACAGATTCAACTCACGCAAAACAGAAAAACAACTAACTTACTTTAATCAGCACGAGAGCTTCTTCGATTTCCTGAAAATCCACCGCACTTTCCTGCAAAGTTCAGTAGGCGACGGCGAGTTTAGTAACTACTTATCAGGGGTCCCAAAACTTATCTAAATCAACAAAGCTCACCAATTATTATTTTCTTCTTGTCTGAAGATAACAAATTGTAAAGACAAGTGTTTAAGCTGCTAAAACCTTTGGCCTCTAAGAGTGACTTGCATCTAATCTCTCCTTACAATATTACTCCTAAATCACACATTACTGTCACAAGAATAAAGGAAATGATCACCAACGAAAGCTCGTGATTGTTAAACAAATTCTCCTTGTCAACACCTTAGGAGAGGTAAAGAGAACAGTGTGGAGAAAATGCATAATGATTTTAGGGCGTAAAGGGTAAAGATAGCTATTTTGAGGGGAAATGTCCCCTACATGGAAACAGTGAGACAATGGCAGAAATGACAACGTTAGCCTGCCCTTAAAAATTACCTTGGTAAAGAACTTCATCTTTTCCTTCAAGTCATCATACTGTTCTTTTAATGTATAATGTTGTACCCTCAGTTCACGTAGCTCCGCATTTAATTTTTCAGCAGACTCTACAATAATGATGACATGGATGGAGAAGTTTCTGGTGACGCGCTACAATACTTGACCAAACAGAGCAATGAACGTGACCAGGCAGAGTAACAGTGAATTACAAAAAGAACCATCAGGAATTCCACGGAAATAGCACGTGCGCGGCAGTAATCGCGCGAGAACGCGCGTTCTTGCAATCATAAGAAGCGCCAATCAAAACAAAGTTCAACAACCAATAAGAATCCAAGAAAATAACGTAAACTGGCCCCAAGTGCGGAAAAACGCTTTCAGCCACTTAACTCGTTTTAGGTATTCCATGTGATTTGTATGGTATGACTAAAACGTTTCTGCCTACAATCTCATAGAGTGTCGTTATTACCTAGCGCGGCTAATGCGTGGTAAGTCCTAACCACATTAAAAGCGAATCTCACCTCTCTCACTGGTTAATTTGTCAAGAATATCATTTTTCTCCTGTAAATCTGAATGCAAAGTAGCTCTTAACTGCTCCATCTCCACCTGAAACAAGATTAGTAAATGTTGACCTGCCCCTTTCAAGACCCAATAATCAACAGCTTAAATGCGTATTAGGGCATTGGCGGTTTCTAGAGTGTATTCACACTTTTCTTCCTTTGAATTTGTCTCTTCAAAATTATCTATCAACTAGTGTTTGTTTTCTAACTGAATGTGTCTTCTGTGTCTCCTTGCTGGCAAACTGACACCGTACCTCCATTTGCCTGTATTTTGCTCTGTGCTGTCTTTCGCGTTCGGCATCAAAAGCACTGGAATGGCAAAAGAAAACAAAAACGTACCAATAGAGGAACAAATTAGGGGAACAAAAGAACAAAAACGACACCAATAAATCGACGATACATAAAAATGCTTTTAGTCACATGAACAAGGCACTGTCCTACCTGGTGACCAGGTTTTCATTTGCTTCCTTCAAGATAGCATTCTCTGCTTTTAGATCTCCAATCATCTGAAGTTGCTATAATTTTAACACAAAGAATAAACGCAATTAGATTGTTAAAGTATTGACGATCTAGTGAGGACTGAATAATTCTTCATTTCAACAAAGAGCGTCAAGGTTCTGTACCATGCTATGCTAGTGCATACTGGATACTTCTTCTTCTCTCCACCCTCCCCTTCCCCCATAACATTTTGTCACATTTCCCCACAGTTCGCTGGCTCCAAAACCTGTATCAAGCGCTCACCCGCGGGAATGGCAGGGTGACTGCTTAATACAGATTCCACAGAATAGGGAAATTTTTTAAACGACAAAAAATCGTCATTTAATGCCATAATTGACCACTAACAACTGCAATGTACAAAAACTCGTCAAAAATACAACTAACATTGATTTCGTGAGATGAAATAGATTAAATTTTACTTAGAGGTTTATTCTTAGTTTTATTTGATTTGTTCTGCTTTAGGTGCCATTCAATACAGGTGGAGGACAATACAAAAAGGCTGTTGGTCGGGGGTGACCACGACTGCTTAATAGAGGTGACAGCCTAATGGTGGTAAAAATTACAGTGATTGAGGGGTAACAATTTGGTGACTTTGAAAACTGACCATGTAATACAGCGTGACTGCACAATACCATAGCCTGTCTCTAGAAGATGTGTAAAATCATTTTACCTCTGACAATGACTTTGATGCTATTCCTCCAGTCTTGAGGTCATTCTTTAAAGCAAAATTCTTTGTTTGTTCCTGTACAGATAAGAAAAAGTACACTATGCATCTATATAAATAACAAATTATGAACCACAAATCACTGCTGCACATGAATCAATGCAAAACAACATCAAATCAAAATTCATACATGTAACTTAGCAATATACAACATGCTTGTACAGTGAGTGGCCTGCTGTAGCCAGACTGTGGCCTTGCTAGACTGTAGCCTACTGTACCCAGACTGTGGCCTACTATAGCCATTCTGTGGCCTACTGTAGTCAGACTGTAGCCTACTGTGGTCAGACTGTGGCCTACTGTAGCCAGACTGTAGCCTGCTGTACCCAGACTGTGGCCTACTATAGCCATACTGTGGCCTACTGTAGTTAGACTGTAGCCTACTGTGGTCAGACTGTGGCCTAACTGTAGCCATTCTGTGGCCTACTGTAGTCAGACTGTAGCCTACTGTGGTCAGACTATGGCCTACTGTAGCCAGACTGAAGCCTGCTGTACCCAGACTGTGGCCTACTATAGCCATACTATGGCCTACTGTAGTTAGACTGTAGCCTACAGTGGTTAGACTGTGGCCTACTGGAGCCAGACTGTGGCTTACTGTAGCAAGACTGTAGCCTACTGGTATTGCCAGACTACATGTAACAAGTATCTCCTGCCCCTCTTTCTTGACACAAGTCCACAACAAATGTTTAGAAAAATTGGATGCACAAAATGACACTTCATTGATAATTGCAAATGAAAACATTGCAACTTGGTAGTATACTGTTTTGTTTTATGATATTCTCTTTTGAATACCTTTTTAAGTTCTTCATTTAGTTTTTCCATATCTTCAAGAACCTGAGTGTGGCTTGCTTTTACTTTGGCAAGATTCTGATTGAAGAAAGAAAAACATACATTTTGAGATGGAAGTAATGCCTGTTAGGGTAACCAAAAAAAAAAACAACCATACCATACCATGCACATACAGAATTCAATGAGCTACAGTACATATTCCCCTTACTAAATTACTTTGGGGTCTGTCCTGTAAGACCAAGTTTTCTTGTCAGATTTATTGCCCAAGCATGAATGCCATAAATCTGAGCAGAAAAAAAGAGGTTCTGTAACTTACAGTGTGGACCAAGAAAAAAAGTTTAGTAAGATATTTAGTATATCTCTGGGTTCAAATAATTATTTTACCTCTTCTAGATTTAAGTACTTGGCCTGCAGAGCTTCAAACTTTGTTGCTTTTTCCTTCATCTCCCTCTGAAGTTTTATCAAGTCAACATTCTCTTGAATATTTGACCTTGTAACAAAGGAGAAAAAAATTATTTCAGCCTAACATGTAAGAGTGATATTAAAAAATACCATGGCAGACTACAGATCTACATTGACTACTTTCAGCAAGCAGTGATGCAGAAGTCTAAATGCTAACAGATATTTTGACAAAAAATCTTTTGAATTGACTGTGTAAACTCTCATTTTTCTTGCCAGTAAGCAACTACACTGAACTTCTTTTAATTAATCTTGCCTTGCTTAACCCTTTACACTCTACTGGTCATCAGTATGCATATTCTCCATACCATTTTCAAGACATTTCCTAAGGTGATGACAAGGAGAATTTGTTCAACAATCAAGATTGGTGATCATTGGTGGTGATCATTTCCTTTATTCTTATATCCTTAATTTTTATTTAGGGGTGATATTGTAAGGAGAATTAAGATGCCAGTCACTTACAGGGTTAAAGAGTTAATTTTGAAAAAAAACCTAAACAATCAAGTCACTATGCTCAACTACAGTTTTATTTAGTTTCTAGTTGGTAGTATGCATAGTACAACATTTGTTCCCAAAGTCTGCATCAGTGACTGGAGACTACTGAAATAAAAACTGGTTGAAATAGCACATCACATACGTACCTTTGGGCATCTGAAACCTGTTCTTTCAATTGCATTATTTCATCTTCATGGCGCAGTTTGGTTTGCCTCAACTGTAAAATGAACAGGCAGAATTTCACAAAGTGAAAATGCTGAGATTCTTGTCCCACATGACTTTACCTGTTACTTTTTCGATTTTGCTGGAAAAGATTCAGAATTCAGGATGCAAAAAGCTACATGTACTCAAAAACAAAATTTTCTGACTTCCATTCCAAAGCTTTCCTACAGAGATAGGATCAAACTGAGTTTTTGACTTTTAAGAATCACAATTGTTAGATACACTGTGCCATTACCATCACTTTAAGTGATTTTATGAAAAATGCTAGAAAACTGTACTTAGAAAGTACAATCATGTTTAGATCAAGAAAATTGTATTTTCATGTATGTGCAATGAAATAACCAGTCACTCTTATTCTACAATATTGAGTACTTAAAGATGTATTTCATCATCACAACATGTAAGTTATCTTTTCAAGAAAATAAAATAAAATGATTTTGATCAGAAATTAGGCTGATTCAGTAAGTTTTATAAAAATCAAATCTTCCCACCTGTTCCCTTAACTGGGCTCCATCTTCATCAAGTAACTGAATTTGATCTTGAAGTTGGGCAATAAGCTCCTCTCTGTAAAGAGAGAAAATACATTGTATTAAGATAATGAAATTATGAAACTAAAATGATTGATTGTAAGGATATTTTAAGCAGGCTATCATGAAAAGGCTACCCAAGATAATGCAACATATTGGTGAAGAGAAAGACAAAGGGGATTTCCATAATATGATGCAATTCTCACTACCAATTTACGAAAAAATGTATTTTAGCTGGAAGAGAAAATTAGGACTCAGTTTTTAAGAGTTTGAGGATTAACTTACAGTTCCCTTTTTTCCAGTCTTGCTTCTTCAAGAAGACTGTGTCCATACCTTCAAAAAAAGAAAAAAAAAAAAACAGGATAGATTGTTGATAAATACAACTTCAGTCTCCACATGTATAGTAAAAGGTAATCTTGTACTGGAGCAAAGACTCAGTTATATAGCACCAGAGAATTTTCCACTTTTCTTAGAATAGAGCTAGATGTATGTGACTGTTAAGTTTTGCCTTTCCTCCAACATGTAGCTGGATTTCTCTTTGGCACTTTGTCCAATGTCTTTGAAAGTTTGTTGATACCCATTTATACTCCTGGTTGAAGGGAGGCACCGTGAGATTAACCCTTTACAACCTTACATCAGTTTGTATATTCTCCAAACTGTTCTTGACACATTTCTTGAGATGCAAACAAGGAGAATTTGTTTAACAATCAAGAGCTTCTCTCGCTGGGAATCATTTTCCTTATTCTCATGACCTTAATGTAAAATTCAGGGGTGATATTTTAAAGAGAAATTAGATGCTAGTCACTCCTAATGGTTAAAGGGTTAAAGTGAGTTTCCCATAAAATAATATCTCTGGCCATGGCCCCTCCTTGGCCAACAGACCATTGCACTAACTTTAATTCCACTGAGGACAGCTTAATTCAGAGAATTAAGTCTACTTCTTACAACTTTTGTATTGATTAAGAAATTCCAAATCACACTATTAATTTTAATTGGCCAAAGTGGTAAAATGAAAGGTTGGTTCCTGGGGTATCTAATAACTTAACTGAGGCTACAGGTGTAACAAGCTCCTAGATTCACAAAATACTGCTCGATGCCTGGCAAATCTCTCTCTAGCAAATTTCTCAAACACAGAACTGCAGCTGAGCAAAGAGTGGAAAGACATAAGGGGATGAGTGTGCTAAGTTAAACTGGGATAATTCTTAAAAAAAAATGCTGTAAGACCACTAAAAACAATCCCCTAAACACTGCTAAAGAACTTAAGCTGTAATGAAGCTGAAATGTTTCATGCAGCCTGCACTTGTGAGATCAAACAATGATTTGAAAAGGTTATTATACTTATGGCAGTTACTTTAATTTGTCACTAAAACATTTTGTCAATAGCATTGGAGGGCACATGTAAGAGCCATAAAGGTTACTATAGATGAGGGCAGTAATCTCCATGGCAACATGGAGATCACCATAGCAACTGAGCTACATCCCACCCCTAGTTACCACCCATGTAATAGCAACATGTATGGTGTGTGGAAAGGAGGAAAGAAAAAGAACAGTCAAATTAGGGAAACAAATTGGGCAAAAGCACATGAGAATGCTTCCTTGTTAAGCTCCTTCAACTGAAACTGCTGCATTCATTTGCCTAAAATTCATTTAGCTTCATTAAATCATACATGAGCTGCAATAGAAATTACGCATCTACAAAATACATGTATAAAGAACTTTCATGTCACAATTTAAAGGACAACACATTCAGGATGCTGTAGCATCAAAACTACTACATCCTGAGTGTGGAACTCTAAACTGCAAACCACATGGCAACAACTGTCAGTGTATGGACAGAGATTATGTAAAATCCACAAAGTTTAACCACTGCACTGATAAAACAAAAGCAATACTTATTATTGCTCAACACTAAGCTAAGATTACAAGTACATAACTCTGCCTTAACCCATTAACCCCTTAGAGTGACTAGCATCTAATTTCTCCTCACAATATCACTGCTGAATCACACACTAAGGTCAGGAGAATTAAAGAAATGATCAGCAACAAAAAGGCTCTTGTTTGTTGAACAAATTCGCATTGTCAGCACTTTAGGAAATGTGTAGAGAACAGTATGGAAAATAATTATGCCTTCTGAGGATTAAAATTTGTGACAGTAGGGTTGAGGTTACCTTGGTTGAGGTAGCATTGGAGGTGGTACTCTTGATCCAGGTCTATAAAAATCAAATATAAAAAAAATCACAGTTAGTGTCCCCAGTTACACAATTCAGCTCATATAGCTAAAGTGTATTGACACCTAAATCAAATTTATCATTATTACTTACACACACACAAAAAGCAAGATCAGCAGCTATCTGATCAATTATCATCAAATGTTGAAAAATAATTACATGTAAAGGTTAACTCTACCACTTACACACAAGATCTTTGTGTGAATTCTCCTCACTACCAGCTGCAAATTACTTATAATCAAATTTCTCAGAAGTTGGTGTTACATGTAAAACAGATAGCATCTACTGATAATACTACTTTTCTTACTCCTCATCATCTTACTGCTAAATAATTCATTGAGATTGTGAGGAGAAATTCCTTTTTTGGTATGGAAGTAAAAGGAATAACCCCTTAACTCCCAGGATCTAATCGCTAATTCTCTCCTCTAGCTGCTAGACATTTCTTTGTAAAGTAGCTAGGAGAATTCGGTGTTAGATCAAGATAACAACTTTCACCTAATAATAAGTTTGAGTATTCTCATTACCTGCTTGCTGGATAATGTATGGATATTATAGGGAGAAGTAACATGTTAATCACTTTCAGGAGTAAAAGGAATTAAGTAAAGTTTGAGCAGCTTGTGCTGTAAGAGTCCAGCTTTCATCAAACAAAAACAGGTGTTGTGCTTATTTTCTCATTAAAATAGTTTATCCAGTAGTTATCCAGTACAGAGCTCTGCACATGTACAGTGTAGAATTACTGACTTCATATCATGGCCTTGAACTCTTAAATCTTTCTTCAGTCGGTTTCCTGATGGTGTTCTGGCATGAATACCCTGAAAAAGAAACAAGGTTATAAATTATATAAAGAAAGAAAGAAAGAAAGAAAGAAAGAAAGAAGAAGAAAACAAACAGACAAACCATTTTCATTCAAACTGTAATTATTCCAGTCATAATTATTTTTAAAATGCCCATTCTCTTGAATTTACATAATACGACACTTAATCATGTAATGCTGGTAACAATGAACAAGTCTATGTGACTACTTTTGATAATGCAACAATTGCATTTGTACATGTAAGCCACTCCATATCTTTAATAAATTCTCAACCAAATAGAAGAAATCAACCAAAAAAATTTGATCTGACTAAAATACATGTGGTGTTGATCTCCACTTACTGTTTGGACACGAGGTTTCACATGATCATAAGGTGTGGCACGCTTCCCTTGGGTCTGTAGTTGTTGCTTGGCAACTGTAAGCTTAAAAAATAACCATTGAAAATAGTCATAAATCACTGTGAGTTCGAACTTAATACTGGTTGATTTTACAGAAATAACAAAAAAAAAGTATACTGTATATAACAAAACACATGTTTAAAGGACAGAATAAAGTACATGTTATGATGAATTTGGTTATTGTTGTGAAAACTGCTTATGAACTGTACCTTATTTTTCAATCCAACATTCTGCTTTTCTAAATCTACAATTTTAGCTTCCAGATCTGCCATTTTCTCTCTTGTATCCACATTGTTTACAGCAGACACTATTTCAAGGAAATTATAGCAAATATATGAAATCTTAAAAGCAAACAAAGTCACAACATATCTACCTGATTAAATTTGGGAAGTTGATACAGGTACATGTACATTTCACATCATTTGCACCATGTACATGTAGGGGACCAAGCTGAAGTGTCATGGGAATCTAAGTTTGGCTCAGGACCATACCTATGAATCAAAGCTCTTAAGGGCTGGACACCTTAGCATTTTGAGACCAAAGCTTTCAGGCTTTAATTGATCCTTCTGAGAGTGCAAATTTGAATGATACAATTATATACAGGGTAACAGAAAAAATACTGTTACAATCTGAAGTTATAGGCAAGTAACTGGATAGGTTTGTTGGGAATATTGTATTACCCACTGATAACAGTACCTCCATCTGTGGCTTCCCTTTTCTTGTCATGCACCAATCGCAACAGCTTAGTTGCCATCCTAAGTTCAGAAATCAAAGTGCTCTGTGAGCAAACTCGTGAATTAACAATTGATTTTTTAGACTATGTTTAATGTTATCTGGTTTAGGGAATTTTGTGGTTGATTGTCATATCTAGAGTACGAGCAGTAGTTCAGTGTTCGCTAATGTAGCAAAGAAACAAAGTAACGTTGGGATAAGAAGGCATTACAATTGAAATGATCATGCTAGTACATTTGACAAGGTGGATGATGTCATGTGTTTTAAACGTCTATCATTTTTGTTTCTGGTTCAAAAGAAAAGGTTGGAAGTAAATGTGGGTGAAAAGTGAAATTTACTGTCTTTCGTTGTAAATATTAGAAAATCAAGGCAATACTGTCTTAATGAAAACATTAACGATTCCCTCTTTATCAAATGAGACAAACGGGAACGAGTTTTGAGTGATACAACTGAGCCAAGCCTGCCACCTTCATTTTGGATCTCCGCCTGGGTAGATTTAAGTCACGTGCTAGGCAACGTATAATCAATAACAAGATAGAATTTCATTTCAGGCCTATTTATCTATTTTGTGGTGTGTAACTTTCGCATTTTAGTACGTTGTATGTATGTTGAATCTTCAAATTGTCTTGAAACTGAAAAGAAAATTGTTCTTTAAAAATTCACTGAAAATCGGTAGCTCAAATTGTTTGTTTAGGTGTTATTTTATTTTCGTGTTAACTTGTTATTTCGTCAGTCACCGGCACTTCTGTTGCTTCACACAGGAAAAACACACGCGACGAAACGTAATGATTAATTTTGTCCTAAATCTCACGCCATAACAGAAAAAGCTTTTGAACATCTGTAAACTCCGAGCGCTTCGCAGTAAGTGATATTTTCAATGAATCTTCAGATTGTTTTCAAGTTCAAGGATTGTAAATTACAATTTTATGAAAAACGAAGGTTGTTCTGTTATTTCAGTGTGAATCCTTGCATGCCTGCCAGTCGCTGGCACCGCTTGTTGAAACTAAAACGAAAAAAAAAAACTCTTTTAAGATTATCATTGGCTTCTTTTTCACCCCACCACTATTCTTAGCAACAAAGGTCGCCATTTCGTCTGTTTATTGCTCGCCAAAAACTATCAAATGCACTCAAAAGCCTAAAATCTAAAAAAAGTTTACAGGAATCGACCAATCGAGCGAGCGAGCGAGCGAGCGAGCGAATGGCATTCCCCACATCGTATCTATAACTCGCTCTTGCGCATGCGCGCAATTCACGAGTTAAAAATGAGTAAAATGAGTAGAAAACTAGCTTATTATAGAAAAAAATTTATTTGACCTGACGTTTAAATTGAAAATTTATTGCTACTATTGGAGATCTTTTTAGTTAGAATTTTCTACTAATGTGTTCAGAAATATATCAAATACTTTTTGATCTTCTCCTCCTGCTTCCTTGCATATTTCTTTAACTCCTGTAGCAATTAAAAATTATTGTGTATAAGTATAATGATCGTGAAAGCTCTGTAATCAATATACATTTCATTAAGATAGTTCAGCAATGTAAGTAACAATCTGGGACAAAGACTGTGAATATATGAAAATCATATGTGTGAACTGCAGTTTAAGAGATGAATATGAAAGTGATCTTCCTAGTAATGAACACTACTCAAACAGTTACTGTAGTGAAAATAAGGCCTGAAGAAAATAAATTCAGGCCTGTATGGGATTTGAACCCATGGCCTCTGTGATACTGGTTCAGTGCTCTTAACCAACTGAGCTTACAGACTAACTGGGAACTGGTAATTATGTAGGTTCAAAATAAACCTGTGATTCATCAATTCATCCTGTAGAAGCCTAAATTTTTTTCCAAGCCTTATTTCCAATGCGGCTTAAGTAGTGTTCATTACTCCAAAGATCCCTTTCATATTCATTTCTTAAAACTGCAGTTCATATACATGTAAGTGATGTTAATAAATTATATTCACAGTTATTGATTCATCGCTTTACAGGTTTGTTATGAACCAACATAATGATCAGCTCCCAGTTTGCTCATAATGCTCACAGAATGCTGGTCATTGTGCAAACATCTCTAGTCAGTTCACAAATGTGTAGAAGTCAGTTTACAAACGTTATAAACATTTATATGACTTGTGTAGATGTCAGTTCACACGCTTTGTAGATTTGAGATGTCAACATTTGAGCATACAAACTCTCCAGCTTAAGTAATACAGTCTCGCTCTATTGCAGCATTTGCATGTTGCTTGTACAGTAGCTGTAATCTGCAAATCAATCTACTGATATGAAACAGGTCTTACTGTTGTTGTGTTCTGTCAAGAAGTTTTGCTCTTGGAGGGAAGGTCCACAACTACCGATACATGGGATAAAAACTGTCCATTTGATTAAATATGAAATATACTTTAGTGAGAAATAAGCTGTGAGATTTCACATCCAATAATTTACGCATACAACAAGTCAGTAATGTAGTATTCTCAATTGTATAGTTAAACCCAGGTTGACATGCAAATGTTTATAACATTTGCGACCTGACTTCTAAACATTTGCGAACTGACTTCTACACATTTGCAAATTGACCAGAAACATTTGCAAAACTACCATTGGTGAAACGACTTGTTGGCAAAACAACTGGTTAGTAGCTCACTTGATAGAGCACTGCACCAGTATCCCAGAGGTCATGGATTCAAGTCCTGTACATGGATTCAAATTCCTGAATTTTTTTTAGGCCATAGTTTCACTACTGCTTAAGTAGTGTTCATTACTGCCTAGATAGCTTTCACATTCAATCTTGGACAAAACCCATTGACACAAACTTAAGCTGAAAGTAAAATATAAATGTCATTGCATGCATAAAACCTCTAAACTCCATTATAGTTGAACTTGGTAAGACATGATTGAGCAAAGGAGGGAAGACAAGTTCCCAGAACAACCATGAAATAAAAAGTCTTGATTGTTTCTTCCAGCTTCTTGTGCAAACTAGATGAGGATCTAAATGTTGAACATGTGCAGGAGTAGGTGTAGGTGTAATGATTAGGTACCTATTTTAATTTTCTGGTGCCAAATTCCAAATATGAAGGCATAATTATCTCTAAATCCACCATGTTTCAGAGATATACATTGCACATATATACTGCTTATCAAATGTCTCAATCAGAGGAGAAAATAATTCAACAAGAAAAAAGGAACGCGAGTTGGGAGTCATACAATGTGTACTCCAGTCTATACCTGATTGTCCTCCTGAAGCCTCAAATATTTGTCTTCAAGCTCCTCTCTGCTTATCTTGGAGATCAACTGACGAGCATAGATCTCGCTGAAATGTCTTCCGTCTACAATAACAACGGATCACAAAGTTCTTGAGCTGTTCGTTCCTGCAAATATGTGCCCTAACAGGAAGGCTAAACTTGAACTGCCATACAACAACATCAAGCTGTCAATCATAAGAGGTAAACAAAACTGCAAATTTTTATTCTTGTGCGTTTGCGATATTCAAAAGCTATTAAATTAAACCAATACCTCCATCCTCAGCAACGGAAAACGAGGGAGGTCCGTCCATGGCCGAGGAAACTGGCATACCACGGTCAAAAATTATCAGCTGTAATGATCACGACGAAACCCCGCTAACTCGTTGCTATGTCCCACTTTCTCTGAATGTTTCCGCACATGGCACCCTCACGATGAGACCAAAAGAGTAATCTGTGTATTTTTAGCATGAAATGTTTTCTTTTAGAGCCGTCTAATAAAGTTAAAACACAAAAGCTTCATATTAAACGACTTCTTTTCTCAAATCTGATTTGGCGGCAATCATCAGCCATTTTGAAAATTGTGAAGACAGCGGTCGTACGTCAAAGGTTATGCCCTTTGTTGTCTTCCTCAGTCTTCTCGCAGTCTCTAAGATTCTCGTGCTAAACGTGAAAACGAAGTAAGAGCCTAGCTCGGTCAGGATTGCTTTTGTGAAATTAACGCTCTTAACTTTTATAATAGCCTGGCGCTAACCTTCGAGTATTTTTCAGACAATCCTCCGAATCGGTCTCCTCAGAAGAGAGAAAATATGAGAGTTCTTGTAGGTGTGTTGACGCAGTTACGTAACATGTACACGGTTCATTTAATTGTCTGCTCATTTACTGTGATAACCAATTGGTACTTACACACCGCCAGTGTAAAAAGGCCTTGGATGACGGACTACAATGTCGTGTTCTTAGATTTCGCCAAAGCATTCGATAGAATATCACATGTTATTATCCTGCAGAAGCTTTGTAATTCTGGCATCTTTGGTAGTCTGCTGAACTGGTGTAGGGATTACTTGACAGAAAGATAACAAAGAGTTGTTATAGAGGGATAGAGTTCTACCTGGTCTGTCATTCCTTGTGGTGTACCACAGGGTTCCTTATTAGGGTCATAATTTGTGAATTTCACAAGCGATTTATCTGATGTACCTTTGGTAGGGAGGTCTCCTATTTTCTCCAAGAAAGGTCTTGTTTTGTCATACTATTATCACCTATTGTCTTAAAGCAGTTCAATCCCATTGTTGACTGGAACTGTCTTTTGCAGGAGGGGGAACAGGATTTATTGGTAGAGCATTGGTAGAGGCCTTGAAACGGAAAGGACATGAGGTCACAATTATTTCAAGGACTCAGGCACCTGGAAAAATAACTTGGGTAAGAACTTGTCAAAGATACTCATTTTATGGAACTAATCTGAGTTATTTTAGTTTTGCCAACTGAGTTGATAATATAAAATGGTAAATTTGAGTTTCTAAAGTTGATTTATTAAGGAATAACACTTAGAGCATCAGCTCAACACTTTCACTCCCAAGATCTCATTAGTAATTCTCCTTACTGTCTGTACTAGGAAGTAGTCTGAGGAGACAGATGTTAAGGGGTCATTCCATATGTATCTTAGAACATCCATGTAATGTGTAGTCAGATATCCTGCAAGCACATACCAAAATTTAAATTTTCAGCTATACAGAGGTTGGGAAACTAAAATGGTTACAGCAAGTTTTCTATGACTGCTTTGTTTCCAAACAGAGTGAGATTTCAAAATCACCTTTGCCAGAATGTGAGGCTGTAGTGAATCTTGCTGGAGAGAACATTCTTAATCCACTTAAAAGGTGATGATTTTATAATATTGTTAGTAGTAAAAGGACAACAAGTGCCTGAAGTATTCATGGTTTCTGCTGTATCCAGCCAGTCCCCCAAAAGAACACCACTCTTATGGGTGACAAATCCTTGCAGCCCAGCTGTGAGCCCCTATTTCAAGCCCTTGACAACACTAATTAGCTCAGTGGAAGGAAGTCCATTGGATCTCTAGTGGCAGTGAGTCCCAGAAAAGTACTCTGCATAATGAAGTAGGTGTGCCAATTACACAGTTACTCATGTTTGGTGAATGAAGTTGCTGTCATGTCATATAATTAATTTCATGATTGAATGGTAGAAAATATTAAAATCTTTATTTTGTACTTCTGAACAGGTGGAATGAGGGCTTCTTACAGAAACTGAGAGATAGTCGTATAGAAACAACCAAAACCTTGGCAAGAAAAATATCAGAGGCATCAAATCCTCCAAAAGTGTTTGTCTCCTCTTCTGCTGTTGGTGAGCTCTTTTGAATATAACAACAACTACATTATATGTGTTTAAAAACCCATGTGGTTTACCTGAGTGGCAAATATCTCATTCCGAGCTAGTGCTGCAATCCATTTTGTTGGCTTTATAGCCAGATTTTGTTTGGCATGTCATTTAAAGAAAAAAAAAATAGAATATTAATTGGACAAAGATTCTGTTCATACTGATCCATGGCAGGGGCTACAGATGCATTTTTGATAGTCCAAACATGAAATGTAGTTCTGTTGTCTTCTTAGTTGGGAATTACCAGCCAATCACGTTTTCTACCCCCATATCCAGATGTACTCTTGAGTTAGGGAGAGATGGTGAAAGTGTTGTATGTCTTATGGAAGATAAGCTGGCAAGGAGGCCCTCTTAATAGTATTGGCACTTCAGTGCAAGCATTCCTTTGACCACAGGAAAGTATGAGGCCTCAGGCAACATCAGGTAGCAAGAAGTCTGCTAGGAGTCTGGCACTGGTTAGTCCCAGACTCCTGGAGAACTTCTCCCCAGCTCTGGTAGGGGTGGGGGATAAGTGGTGGGGTAAAGGAACGCATGTCTTGCAACACAAACAATGAGGGCATGCTTGCAAGACTAGAATATTATCCTTTTGCTTTAACCTCATGGCTCACTTTATCTATGTTCACTTTGGAGGTATTCTTTGTTTTATATTCAATTTCACCAATAGAAATTTCCTTTCAAGAAGATGCTGAATTTCCTAAACAATGTAATTTGATTTGGCTTTATTTCCAGCTGAGCAAGTGTAACTCAAAACGTTAGGTCCTTTTTGTGTCAGACCAATTCCCTCCTAAGATGCCTTCCTATCTTGCATTCAACCTGTTTGCACATGAAAACCTTGTTAGTAAAATGTATCTCTCCACAAATTTGTCATGATGTAGGATTCATCTCACTCTCCTCACTGAATTACTTAATGAGCACTGTTGTCCCTGAAGGACATCTGACAAAATAGTTCGTTTTTTCACTTTAGGTTACTATCCTCCAAGTGATACTAAAGAGTACACTGAAGATTCACCTCCAAGCTCTGCAGATGCACTGACAACACTTTGTGCTGACTGGGAGAACAGTGCTAAGCTTCCTGATGGCTGTGATACCAGATTGGTCACGTTAAGGATTGGAGTTGTATTAGGCCGTGGTGGAGGCGTCATACAGCAGACAATTTGGCCATTTTGGCTCGGTCTTGGAGGTAAAAACACATTTTATTATTCCACGCATTGTATCTTGCATTGGTTTAGGCATTGTATTATATGGAAAAATTTAATTCCTTCCTCAGAAAATGGAACTAAGATTATTTCTTTTTTCCACCCTTTTATTTCAGGAATACTAGGTAGCGGTAAACAATATTTCCCTTGGATCCACTTGGACGACATGACAGGAATAATTTTTCACGCCTTGGAGAACGATCACGTGACTGGTGTATTGAACGCAGTGGCGCCGCAAGTAGTTACAAACGAGAGTTATACGAAAGAGTACGCAGGCGCGCTGTGGAGACCTGCCATTTTGCCAACCCCTTCGTTTGCAATCAATTTTATCTTTGGTCAGGATCGCGGAAAAATACTTCTGGAAGGACAGAAAGTTATTCCTAAACGGACATTAGAGATGGGATACAAGTTCCACTATCCAGAGCTAAAACAAGCGTTGGCAGAAATTGTGAAATAAAAAACTTGTCTGAAGTCTTTTGCGCAGCCGTGGTTTGGTCTTGTCGCGTAACGCTTTCTCACGCGTCTTACGTGACGAGATCAAACAACGGCTGCGAAGAAGACCAGAGTTTTACGAAAGCACTTATTTCATTATGTGACGGCTGTTGCCGTTATGGAAAGTCTACTATTGTTTGATTGTGAAGAGTTTAATGAAAGAGAGAATTGTGTTTATATGATTGCGAATTTATGAAAGGGTAACTTCTTGTCTCTCTAACATGGTTACATCGTCATGAGAAGAAAAAGGATCTAGAAGTATTTTACGGTTGATGGCTTGAATATGGTCGACACGATATTATTCTAAAGTGACATAATTAACTTAAGAAAGAAATAAACTTTTAATACTTTAACACACTTTGCCTATTTTATTTAATAAAAACTAGGAATTCAAAAGTGCAATTGGAGAAGTGCAATAATATGAAGAAAATGTACCGAAGAAAGAAGAATTTCGTATTCCCTGTAGCTTTCCTCCATCTTTTTTCCTCTATCTCTTCTTCGTCTCAGTTCAGTGCATAACAGGGCGACGGAAGATGCCGATTATAGAGTGTTTCTAAAGTCGTTTAGCCGGCTGGGGTCAAATCAAACTAAGGTTGAAAAAAGACTAAAGACAAGAAACAATCATTTATCTATCGTCGATATCATGATCACTTTTATAATGAGCCCACTGAGCGTCAGCGGACGTGATCCAGTTGTTAGCGATCCACTTGACTCCAGACCACAGCCCACAGCCGCCGTGAAGCGAGTACTCATCCATCTCTCCCATCCATCCTGTTTCTTCATCCACAAAATGATTGTACCACATGACCGCCTTGCCTCGTTGTGGTGTTACAACAACGTTGCCATCGTGACAGTATTGCATCAAATTGAACTTGTCTACTTTCATGGTGTCGAGGTAAGTCTGTGGAGATGAGATGAGGTAAGTAGTTCCTCGTGAATAAGTGAGTACAATCTCTTCTTCAAAGGGCAAATATCTGCCGAGTGGGAGAGCCTGTATGCTTTGAAGGTGTCTACTGGCCTAGCGAGTCACCCGAGAGGTACTTAAACTGTTCCGTTAAATGACGGCGACGATCATCAGAAAACCTTAATTGTTAATTGCCTCAATTTTGACAGAGTATTGGATTGAGTTTCATGACTCGCATCTCTTGAACTTTAAAGAAATTTTTGTGATGCCTCCACTGTTCATTGTACTTTAATACACCGTAACTAATCGATACCAAAACATTTTTTTTTTACCTTCCACCCCACCCCTCACCCCAGAAGACGACGTTCCTCCCCCCCCCCTTTCATCTCTTACGTTATCCTATTCCTCCGGTTATTGAAAACTTATCGTGGCTAGAGGCCTGCGGTGCTGACCCATTTGCACATGGAATGAAATTTGAATACGCAGATCGACTCAGTTCTGAAATATAAATCGTTTGATTATGAGGCGTTCTTAGTGTAGCGAACCTTTCTATCAAAAGTTTTCTCATCTACCACGGGAAATGCAGTTTCTCCTCCTTCATCCACGTCGTTCAGATAATACAACACCGTAGCATATCTGTAACAAAATATTCGAGTAGGCCAGCTTCGCAAAGTGCACTTTGATTAGGTTATTACCAAGCTGTACTTAATTGAAATTTCTAATTCAGGGCTTTTCCCCATGCGATGCAGGAAAGTGATGAGGCATCGCAACACGGAATTCCAGGGGAAATCGAGGGTCTAGTGTTCGATTCGTCACGAAGACTCACATTTTTCCTTCGACCCACGCTCGTGACGAGACGATAAACATTTCTCTATGTTCAGTGCCTAGTTCAAAATTTACCACCTCGTGAAAGACATTTACTCATTCATAAAAGATAGCTATAAAACAACTCCTGTTCTATAGATCGTCTCACCAACTACTTCTGGTGTTGAATACCGATTTTACCTGCACACTCTACAATGTGGAAGCAAAGAAAGTTCCAGATGACAGCATTTCACGTGTGATTGGTTCATCACGGGTTGGCTGTCATAGTGTGCGTTATAATGTCCATCTTTTGTATATTTAACCACCTGATAAAATAAAGTGAACAACTGTCAGAAAAAAAATTTATCACTCAAAGCACGGACAGAGAGCTCTACGTGAAGGCATTGACTAAGTAATTTTTTTTTTATGTAAACAGCCATGTGTAACTGTTTGTTTTGGAGCCAGACATTGCAAGTCCAGAGGCTACAAGAGCTCAGTATAACAACAAAAACTTTTTATGTCGCAATCAGACAAGGGAGGGGAATTTACAAATATCAAAAATGTTATTGTCTGCCTTAGTGAATAGATAGTGTATTGGATCTGCCTGGTTAAAGGGGGGAGGGGTGGGGAGGAGGTTGTGAGCTTTCCTGAGTTAACCACTGAGATAGCAAAACCAGAAAAAAGCTTCAGGTTTAATTGCCCTGTCAGGATCCCCTAACAGTTAACTTTTACAGTTCATCTTCCATACTCCACGAGTAGCTTTTTCTAGATGACCTTTCCCACGAACTGGTTTTGGCAGGAGCCCATCACTTCTGGTTTTGGTTTATCAATTATATCGAGTCTACGACCTTGATCAACAAATTTAGAATGAGGTTAAGCATGTTAATGAGGATTATCAAGGCCGGGGCGTGTATTATTCGTCTAAACCGAAGGATGAGGTGGATTACTCTCTTTGTCGTGCGAAACAATCCAATTTATTATTTTTTTTTATCAAAGTTGCTTATGAATGGTGCAGTTGTTGTGGCTGCAACACAAACCTGTAAAGGTTCGCCTCCTCGTATGATTTGATCGGAAAGCCTTAACAGCTTAGAGAGCCTGTGAAAACAAAAAAAGACTTTTCAAGAAAGACGGAATTTCAGTGTATACATATCTCAATTAAAGCTGAGGTGTAAGAGGGTCTTAGCGGGGTGATGGCTTTTAAGGCTAAGCTAACGGTTACAATTTTGGCCAATTTTCGGCTAACAGTCAATATCTTTCTATTGTTGTCATCAGAATTCTTTTTTACGGTTAACATTTTTCACGACCAACGGATAGAATTGGTCGATTTTTACGCTAAAGTTTTGGTCGTTTTCCGGCTGACAGTTAACACCATCGAGTCTGCCAGATCGACTTTGGATCCAGTCTCCCGGCTTACCTCTTTCGTAATGTTTGTAACAAGGGGTCAGCTCGCTTGCCTTGAATTAACCAGGCCTGGTTACTAAACCTATCCCTGTGAGCTGGATGCTTTTCTTTGATTTTGTTCATGTACCCGTCCATGGCGGCAGTTGGCAGCGTGGTAAATTCTACTGGGGTTACTTGATCTATAATGTATTGATAAAAAAGTCAAAGGCGGATTTCTATCAATTGACGTGATGACTAAACCTAGTAACCACAACAATCGGTCAAACAAAGGGAAGTATCAAAAGGCACCAGTGATACTGCGTCGATCAATTTGAAACTTCAACATCCCCCCCTCCGGGGGCAACTCCAGGGCATTTGAACTTTGAATTTTGAAGATTGGTTTGTGCAAATTCCCGCCCCCGGGACAAAAATTGTGATCAAATGCCTCACCCACATTTTTTTTAAGGCAAAATCAGCGACCGTAACTTTCTGCACATTGACCAAGCTTTAAAACCTAGACGTTGTAGACCTTTTCTTCTGAGCCATTTGCCTGCGAGAGTAAACTATTTACCTTAAACACCTTTATATTTAAAGATAGAACACTTGTATTCCGCTGGAAAGAACTGACCCTAACGGTTCAAATTTCCCAGCCCGTCCCGTGCACGAACGGGTCGATGTTGAAGTTTCGAGTTTATCAGCGCACAATTCAAAAGAAAAAACAAGCAAGCTTCCGAAAGTGAAGTATTTGAAGGGTGTTAGCTTTGCATCTGATTGGCTGAGATGGTTGCCCGGGTTTTATATGCTGAACACGTAGAGAAGTGATGCGAAGCCATTGCAAAACAGGACTATCAGTTTGGTCCTCAAGCAGAAACTGCTTAAAACAAAGGAGAGAAACTATTAAATTTTCTTGCGGGAAAATGGTTCATTGTGCTACTTACCATCATCAAACTCCCAAATGTTTAGCTTGCTTATCCTAAAATGAAGAGAAAAGTTGGAATTAATGCAGGATCTGTGCGTTCGAGTTAAGATCACGAAGAAGAAAACATCAAGTGATATATAAAGAAGCGATCATCATCCTTACATGTCATCTACTTCTGTTGGACTCAGATAAAGGTATTTGAAGTCTGCAGCAAAATCAATTATCTAAAGGAAAGATAAAAGTAACACATTGTTGTGAAATACCAAAAGAGGACGATAGACCATTTTTCGAGGAAGTATCGTAACAATGAAACCAAAATATTCACAACGACAAATTAAGACTGAGGAAGATATCACATGGAGCCAATGAGAAGTAAAACAAATAGATTGAGAGTGTGGCCTGAGTTCTCCTAGCCAATCACAGAGCCAAGTAAGGCATGACCAATGCAAATTTGATTTTTAATTGATGCTAAAATTAATAACTTAATTATCATCTTTACCTCATCCCTCGTAATGAGCCCGTCTTCATTTTTGTCCCAGTTTAAGAACATTCCCAGAGAACCACTTGCATTTCCTAGAGAAAAAATGAAGGTTAAATGAACAATTTATCTCTCTTCACTTGAATAACAGCTCTTCAGAGTTTGGAGATTCCTGGAACTTGCTGGGCCAAGATACAGAACTAATTTGAACGAGCTACGTCAAGGCTTGTGGATTAAGAGCGAAGTTTATGCTATTTTTAAATAGTTATAATTGCGAAATAGATATGTCAATTGATAAAGAGATAGATTGAAAAAAAAATGAATTGAAAATTAGAGGGATTACTTAGGAAAAGCGCAGAAGCATCTAATGGGGCACTCCACTCAGTAAACAAAGTAAAGGGAATATTTAGCCTCAGTTTTTGCAGGGTTTACTTTTGCGGTCCGTCTCAGTCTTAATCATCGATCACTTTTTCGTTCTGTTATATTTCGGTTCCTCTTTGATGGTTCTCTTCCTCAATAACCCCTATTTTCGAGCCTTCTCTTCTATTTTTAGATCAATGCACCCACACCCCCAATTTTAGACGCAAAAACAAAAGATATTTAAATCACCGCGATGTAGCTCTTATCTTTGATATGAATTTGTAAACTGAAGCTTCTAAGGACCATCCTTGATACCAAACTTCCTTGTTAACTAGCATACCTCTTACAAATTCTTTGTTTTTCTCGAGTTCCTCGTCGAGGTGAAGGTCGCTTCCTCGGAGACCGACCTTCTCAGCTAAACTTATGATGTGATTGGCTTCACTTTCGCTAAGAAAATCCGGTATTTCTATAATCAAATAAAGAAAAATAACTTTACTTTGTCATGTAGCAAGAGAATGTTTATTATTTGGGGATGAAAGTGGCCTGAATTGTCTTTAATCGACGCCTTGGTATGTACTGATCAATCAAATGGCCGGTCGCTTTCCAAGGGGAGGTGGGAACACTATGTCATGTACTTTTACCGATTGAAAGGTACATCGTAATAAATAAAGATGGATTTAACTAGCTTTACACGAATGATGATTAAGTGGGAGGTAGCAACCCTCTTTTGCGAGGGAAAATAATAGCAATCAGCTGGTAAGTATGAGGAGAGACACTTATCGCTGTGGTAGTAGTTGTTAACTTGATCTAACACCAAATTCTCGTAACTGATTTAAAAAGAAATGTGCAGCAACCAGAGGGGAGAATTAACAGTCAGATCATAGGCAACGAAAGGTTAAACTCACCAAATAGAGGAGGCTTAGATGCGAGTGTAATCATCTTGTATGTTTTTCCCTCTTCAAGTTCAAGCTCTCTCACGTGACCTTTCTATGGTAATAACACCTTATTAATATTCATGTTCTCCATACTTTTCTCTTTGATTTGTTATGGTACTGACAAGGAGAATTTGTTTGATAATCATGAGCTTCTTAACTTAATGATCCTTTCCTTTATTTTCATGACCTTTGCATTTTATTCAAGGGTGAAAATGCAAGGGGAAGTTCTAAGAAAGACACTAAACGGTTAAGACAGGTTATATTTCAAAATTCACTCCTCTCTTTTTTCTCGAAAGCGAATTCAGCATTCTCGGAAAGACGTCTCTCCCCCCACTGCAATGTTCTCATTTATCTTATTTTTGCATAAGGAGGACGATTTTCACCGTATCTTTTCAGCTAGAAAGCTGTTTTGAATTCTGTTTTTTAAAGTAGCAGGTTTCCTGTTCAAGGTTCTGTTGCTATTTTTGCTGGTACCACGTGCTAATTTTGGTTTAATTTAAAAATGGCGCCATTGCATCGTTCTTAACTTGAGAAGTTGTAGTGCAGTGCACGTAATTATCTGGCTTGGCACATAGCTCTGTGCTGGACATGTACGTGCATTATTACAATGTTTACATTAATTCGACCACAAATGGATTTCTACTACTATCGATCGCTGCTTCAACTTAGAGCTTCTGTAGATTGTAGATTGTAATGGTAGTCCAATTCTTTGTACTCTCCCTGAAGTAGCATTTTCTTTGTTTGATTACACCTTCATTTCTTTAGCAGCAACGTACCTTGATAGGATCCCATCTGAACAGCCTCGGTTCGTCATCACTGGGAATACACGGTCCTTTGTCTTGCTCCCTGAAACAGACGCCGTTTTCGCAAGACTTATCGAGCCGCTTGCGCGCGTCACTGCTTGCAGCTAGCCTAAAATTGATAGCAACAATCGAAAAAATAATTAACAAGTTTTTTCCATTCCTCATAAAGCTTTCAAATCGTGAACTTGTTTCGTTCATATTTTCAGAACACTGCGAAATTTTCGCAAAACTGTATCACTGCCAAGTTCACTGCCCGTGATGTCAATTGGCTGCTCTGGTTTCATGGACTTTTATTAAATATTTATTATTTTAGTACCCAGCATCAGACTAAAACAACTGCTCCATAATTTTAAGCTGTCCTTAACTTCCATAGATCAAGACAATTGAGCCGATTCAAGTAAAAAAAGATCATGCACGATTGGAAGGAAGCGATGGTTTCTCTCCAGCTGATTTCAGTTATCACATCGCACACAGCTAGAGCGGAATCTGATAAATAACCATTATAAAGTCAATTATATTGGAATATTATTGTATTGCATTTGTATTCCATTTGGGGAAGCACTCATTTAATGATTAAGGAAACCTGCTGAAGTTGATTGTCCTTCAGTTGTGATCAATCGGCTGGGTTTATTCGTAATGCTACCCCCCTTGGAGGAGATGCTGATCTATTTTGGATCATCACAAGAGTATTGGCAGGCGTAAAAATACAGGACTGAAATCGTGGTATCAAAGCAGAATACAAAGACTACTAATTACTACGACCTGCTGATTACACAGTGTAATGGTTGTTATTAGAAAAACAAAGTTGAGACAAATAATTATTTCCAGTGATTAGGTGAAAAATTATTCAGTTGCAATTTCGCTAGGAGTCATTTCAGTTATAGATTTGAGTGCGTCCGTTAATCTACTTAAAAGAGAGGAAGAATATCGAAGGTCATATTGAACTGTTCGCTGGAGAGACGCTCTGTTAAAAAAAGCCAAAAACACATCACAATGATGTTAACAAAAAGTCCTGTGCGCCGTACATTTTGTGCCTTAGCGTCATTCACATACAGTGAGTGTAGTCGACGGCAAAACAAGGAACGGATGCATGCATCACAACACAATTAAACATTAACACGGCCGGTTGCAAAAAGGGAGTCACTTTAATCAAATTAAATTATTTACCTACTTTCAATTCAAATTTTTTACTTCACAACATGTTCCAGAAAGAGCATAGGTGTAGACTGGGGACTTCGTTTGGGGAATAAGTTAACAGCCAAAGGAGACTCACAGAATACGATCTTTAAAAATAATGTTAAAAAAATTTGAAAATCCTGAAATGGCTTTGAAATTGGGTTCACCATTATAACATTTACGTTGAAAGTCAAATCCACTAGAACAAAGACAGAGTTTTAAATCATGATCACTGCCTAAAAATGCCAAATAGGCGCTAAATTTTTTATCTCAAAATTTCATAAGTTAAAAGTTTTTTTCTTCTTCTTCTTCTTTGATTTCAAAGTTACTTCTTATATGCGCAAGTGGTGCGTCAGGGGCAGTAATCCAGTTATTTGCAATCCATTTGATTCCCCTCTGCACCCCACACCCCCCGTGAAGGGTGTAATCGTCCCTCTCTCCCAGCCAGCCAGTCTCTTCATCCACGAAGTGATTATACCACATGATAGCCTTGCCTCGCTTTGGGGGGACCACTAGTCTGGCGGCATGGCAGAATTCCATCAAGTTGAATAAATCATCACTCATGGTTTTGATGTACAACTGCGGGAAAATGTAAGAAAGAATGTCGTTAAGTATCTTCGTTGAAACTCTTACTGCTGTGCTCTGTTTGTCTAAGATTTCACCGTTTTTGTCGTTAAGTAGTGGTTCTTCGTCAATTCAATAGATAGAGGAAAACAAAAAAATTGGGGAAAATATCTGTGCAAGGACGAGAACTAAAAATAAAAACTCAATGCTCATTTGATGCCAGGTTCTAAAAACGTAGCCAGGCATCAGCGGGTGGTAGTCAAGTGCTTTTGATAACAAAGTCATCCCTACTCTCCCCATTAGACATCATGCTCGTAAACTTTTCATCAATAACAGGCTTAAATTAGCTTAAGTTTCTGAGCTGAACAGCTACATATTTCAGCAGTTTTAGCCTTTTTAGCCCAGATATCAAATCCCACAAACTTAACGAACTGAAAAACCAGAACAAAATCCCCACAAAGTTTAAGCTCTTGTTCACATATGGAAAAACTTGGAGATTGCGGGACTTCTGCTTCTCAATCATTCACATCCAAAAGTAAAAATCAACGCCATTTTGTCGTTTGTATCTTTACCGGCGCCTGAGTTGCCGCCTGGCTTTTGTTTACTATTTTACTACTTGCAGGGCGTTAGTAGTCACTGTGGTTTTGGAGTCACTTTATCACTGACCTGTTGATCAAAGGTTTTATTATCAGCAACTGGAAAAGCTGTTTCTCCACCTTCCTCGACATCATTTAGGTAATACAATATAGTAATGTATCTAAAAACGAAAAGAAGCATGACTTGAGATTGTCTGTCACACAAAGGCGGAATACCGCGTGGCATGAAAATTTTGCGAGTCTAAATTTTTGCAGATGTTGTGGATCGTCTTTGATCTGCAAAGCTACATTTCCGCAGAGGAAAAAAAAAACATTTCCACCGCGCAATGAATAAAATCCCGCCAAAATTCACTATTTAAAATACTCCATGGAATTAGGCGAAGGGGGAGACCATTTTTTTAACTTCCCTTTGGGCAGCAAGTTTCTGATATTCATTCAGTAGAATTTTAGTAAGTTATCAGTTTATCATAATCAGTTTTGCCCCAGTTCTGTTTTTAGTGGGATATCAAAACCGATTTTGAGCGCTACTCTTCCACTTAAACCCTCTCCAGTGCCGCAACGGCCCTTACATGGGCAGTATGTGCTCTTTTCTCGAGAAAATACTTAACTAACCTACAAAGTCTGCAAGCTGGTATCTTGGTGACGTTCAGGTGACAGCACTTGAGGTGCGAGTGAGTAGCCACTGGCTGAGCATCGTGATGAACATTGTAATGGCCATTTTCATCGTACTTCACCACCTGAAGGTTGAGACCAAACTTTGTACGGTAACTATTTACTTTATAGAAAAAAGGAAGATGTCTCCGTAGTTGGGGCTAAAAATGTGCCATTGATGAAATCTCTAATAACTGCAAGAAAGCATCAAGGATCCAGAAGAGTGTACTTGTACTTTACTTGTATCATGCATGCTACTTGAATTAGTGTTTCAGGTGAAAATGAACAATTGCCCAATGGGATGTCGAACGAGCGAGAACTTCACCTTAAAGGTCACTCAGTTATTCTTATATCTTTTTGGGAACTACAAACATAAAAACTGGAATGAAATAGCCCAGAAGGGTTACCCTCAGAGTGAGGTCTGTATGGAAGATTAAGAATCATTAATTACTGGATACTCTCTTGTCTGTAAGAAGGCAAGTGAGTGGGAACTGAATCAGCATTAACTCTTAGCACCTAAGAGAGATTAACATATTATTTCTCCTTCAATATTACCCCTGAATCAAACACTAAGGTCACGAGAAGTGATCAGCTACTAAAGAAGCTTCTGGTTGTTAAACAAATCCTGCGTTTCAGCACCTTGGGAAAATGTTTAGAGAACAGCGTGGAGAATATGCATATTGATCTTAGGGTGTAAAGGGTCAAAACACCGTAGATCTTACTTGTAAAGGTTCACTTCCACGGATGACACGATCAGATAGCCTTGTTAGTTTCTTTATTCTGTGTAAGAATAAGTCTTAATGTTAATTTGATCAGAAATTGATAATTAACAAAACTGACAGGGTCCCATTGTGGACAAGCCGAGAAATATCCTATCTCAGTTTTCCCAGTAACAACAACAACAACGAAAAGACATGCATGAAAGTGATATCTTAACTTCACCTTTCTCGTAACCTTTGCATAATTTTACTGGCAAACTTTCCCTGATGTAGCCAGGTTTGGTGGCTGTTTCGTTCACGGTGAACTGGTGATAATTCTTTCAGCTTGTTCATATAGTCGTCCATAGCAGCCGTTGGTAGTTTACGAAATTCTTGTATCGTGACTTTACCTACAAGTAAACAATAGCAAGAATTCGGTTCACAAACAAGATTTAAAAACAAGTGCCAAGAAATAAAAACAAACAAATAAATAACCCTCCCAAAATATCCAAGGAATAATCAAGGAGAGTAAAAAAAAAGGTGAGAATTGAAAGGTAGACAAAACTACATATGCAAAGAAATAAAAGTTTTAAACAAACCACGAGCATACCATCATCAAACTCTCTGATCTTCAATTTCTTTATCCTGAGGAAAAGGCAAAGTGAAATTTGGTACAAGTTTTGATTCCACAATCAAAACCAGTGGATCATTGGCTGGCAGTGCGGCCGATTTCGGCCCTTATTTAATGCATAATGCAGCGCTAACTGATTTATTCTTTCTTTTGAACCTTTGTTTCACGGACCAAGGTCTGAATAAAGATTCTCTTTAAAAGAAAGGAAGGGATTGCGTGGGCACTGAAGAAAAATGCAGTATTGTGGTAAAATTGAGCAATAAGGGTAAAATTAGGCGACCTCTTTGATTTTGGCGGCTTTCGACGAAAATCGACGAATTTTATTTTACCGCGAAAGTTCGATGAGTAATCACTTCATTCTCCGGATGCCTGCTGTTTTGGACGACGGAAATTAAAATTTCGGGTTCGGCGTGGCATGACCATGATTGACCAGAAGAAGATGGTTACTTTCGCGGCTCAAGATATCCGAGGCAGCTATCTACGTGATTGTGTTAAGCGGAGTGAGTTGTACTTACATGACGTCGACTTCCTCAGGGGTCATGTAAAGAAACTTATATCTCCGTGAAAAGTGAATTACCTGAAATTAAGAGGTGATGAAAATACACATTGGCAAAAAATTTCCGTTCATTTCACCTGCTATCTAGTGAATGATTTTCTGGCAAACGTTACTCTTAAAATATGAAAAATAATGGAAAATCACTGAAAACACTGTGGTTTTGCTTTCTTCCAGATGTTGCAGTAAGAACCTATCAGAATATATTGCTCTAAAAGAAGTCATTTAATTATAAAAAAAATTTCAAGCATTACGTTTTGAATCACTAAATTTCTTATACCCGTTTGATTGCTAAAGAATTCTCCCGTCATGGAATTGTTAGCTGGAATTTATTAAATAAACAGCCAGGCACA